AAAACACAACTGAAAAAACTTTCCCACCACAAAGCCCCAACCAAAAAAGCCAAGAAGAAACAGAACTAAAATGACTCTTGATGTGGAAGCACTTCTCTCAGGGGAGATAGCTCAGAGAGGAAGATAATTCAGACGAAAACTGCATTTTCCATTTCTATTAGTGCTTTATCAATGGTCAAAAAGTAATGTTTTAGTCATAAAAGAACATACAGGACCAGYTAGACAATGCAATTGCTTCTGCACATGAATTCTTTTTCTTAACAGTTCTTGTCAAGAATATCTTTTGTGGTTAATTCAGAATGGTGAGGCAATTCATTTTCTCTTCTTTCTTTAAGTGTCTCCTGATTAGATGGAATGAAAAGGTACTTAGCCAAACTTAGTAAAAGTTCTTGAAGAATTCCCAAGCATTTTAACTCTCATATAAAGTAGATTTTAYTAAGGAAACAAAGGAAGTCATTAATATTTTAGTTTAGCAGTGCAAACTTTCTATCACTTATCTATTAGAAATAGCKCTATATGATTTTTTAAAAACTTGCAGTAACAGTTTGCATTTGAAAACAGATTAAAACCCAAAATAATTATAAAGCTAGACAGACAGCATCAATTAGATGAAGGATAAGTACTTTTATACACCTTTATAGCAGAAGTGCAGATTAATTTCTTTAAGTTTTYAGCATTTCAGAGGGCATGAACCCTGGTTGTGGACTCATGGCCATAAAAAGGTGTTGATCAGTCTTATCCTTAAAAATGTTTTATGCAGCCACATACTGCAGAGTTGCCTGTGGATTGGACATAATAATCAGCAGGGGAAGGAGAGCTCATTACTAAAAGCTCTCCTTCCCCTGCAGATTACCTCAGCATGAAGCCACGTAGCTCAATCAAAAAAGATTGCTACGGAGAGCTACACAAGATGTTTCTAAATCAGCTAGCTTGAGGCTCAGCCTATAGCTACAACCTTCTTTTAACCTTCAGAAAAGCAGAAGGATCAGGATGGTCTCTGAATATTAGCCATCTATAAGTTTAGAAATAAATCACTTAGCAGATGAAAGTCAGCAGCAGCCCTGGCCTGTCCCATGCTCACACAAGAGACTTCTTCAGAAAAGATAGTGTTACACCAAATCTGGAAATAAGAAAATCATCTAAAGAAACTGAATATATGTTTACTGAGCCAAACTTAAGACAGTAGTAATTTCTTAAAATATGTACAAAGACATACAGAAGAGCATGGCAAAATGGAAGTCTTTTAAATATAACATTTGAATGAGAGACAGGGTAAATTAAGGCAAAAGGGGCAAAATGTAGAAGGCTGGTAGAAGTCATTATGATGGAATTGCTGCCAAAATAATACAGAGTTGCAGCATCACATTTCACATTGTTTGATGTTCTAAAATGCAGTAAAATGAAATGTATGTTCAAATGTCAACACAGTACAGATTCTCATTAATGTCAACTATTAAATAGTGACCATTCAACACAAGTAATTGTATTGAATTGTATTTCATGGGTTATTAACAGCTGAAATTTCAGTTTTGACCTCCAGTTTCCTGGAACATACTGCACCACATCCATCCCCCCTTTGGAAATGAACTGTAGCTGATCAAGTCCCTTGACCTGATTTTGACACAAGATATCCCAGCCCCTATTGCTGTGTACTGAGTCCTGTGAAATCAGCTACTAAGTGAATGTGACAAGGAGCACAGCAATGCCTGCCTATCTAGATGAGATCAGACCTGAGTCCTTATAAATGATGTACCAGGCATTGTTTTAGCTCCACAGTAACACGTGCTGTAATGGGAATTATGTAGTCTTTGTTCYATCAAAATCAAACTTAGGGACACCCTAAGAAAAGCTAATATAGAGACACTGAAACGAAGCAGAGGTTACAGAAGTACAGACACAAGGTGCAGAATTTCCTGTTGCTGAGATTATGTGTGAGRTACTGCACCAGGAGGAGATAATTTAGGATTGCTGTTACCATGTGAAAGCCACAGTGACCAAAAAACAATTAAGTGCACCTAAGATGCCAAGCATAACCTGATCATTTGCTAAGATCAGAATGAATTTTCTTTTTCATATTCACTGCTGTATACTTTGAATCATTATCTTCTATCCTGAGAAAACCTACTAAAGTCCCTTTACCACTCATCACACAAAAGGCTGAACAATACACAAGGATTGCTGATTACAAGGCCTTATTTAGGTGCTGCCAGAAATTGCAAAGTCTTCTGGTGAGTGTTCCAATATATGGGACAAGGTTTCTACAAACAAAGTAAGATATTTTKGTGACATTTGTGATATTTTTGTAAGATTTTCAAAATAACATTGATTCACCTTTGGTAGTAGCMCACAAATCTTCCACTATTTGTATTTTATTTAGAACTGTTAGACTTGAGATTTTAAGTACCTTGGAGATTTTTCCTTASATCAAATAAATAAAAACCCTATTTTATTTATGCAATGAAACGCATGATAAAAATCCTGCTATAAGGTATGTGAACATAAAGCAAAGCTACTTACATGACATGAAAATATTCTGACCTGTATTTTCCCCAAAATAAATAATCCTCACATAAAATACAGTTATATAGTGGAAAAATTCCAAAAACAAATTCCAAAACTCATGTGAAAGCTCATTACTCCCTTGCAACTCCAAACAGATTCAACAGGTTCTTGTACTAAYCATGCACACCTAGTAAGATGGAAACAGCTTAAAGCAAAAAAAGCATTTAAAGTAATAATCCTGTAAAAACTACAATGAATTTAAATTCACGTCATCTATTAATTCCTCAWCTTATTATGATGTTATATAAATGACTGTAATGACTCCATCTAGAACATTTTGAACAAGATATTGGAAATATCCAGGAGAAAAATGGGATAATGAAGCAGAAATTTCAGAAAATGGTAATAAGTAAAGCTAGGTCTCAACAGKTAAATTCTATCAGCCATAAAATACTTCAGAATGCACAACATTCACTGAAGGTAAATTTAAAGTGTATGCCAAAACTGGTGCTTATAAAAGCTATGTGAAGGGCTTATCATCAGAAAAGAATCACTTAATGCTGCAGTTACAGAATGCTAAGGTTACTTGTAAAGTTTTGACCATAAATACCTACTATTCACAAAGTCAGAGATCTGGACAAAAAAAAAATCATTAATCCTACCTTCTGCTGTATGAAGTTCCTCYGCCCTTCTTAAGTATGGGATCCGCCCATGTCACTTTCTCAGTGGAATTACAGAAGATCACTTTACTCTTTCCACCTGTGAGTTCCTGAAATTGTTAAAGTAATTTTGAGATTTCTCATGGTTAAGAAACGGGGTTCAACAAAGCAAAAGACATAACAGAGGTCTTCATTACATTTTCCCCTTGTATATACTGTCATTTTTTCTTTTTCTTCTCTACCACTTTTCTTTTGTTCTCTTGTCTGCCTCTCCTAACTCACTCCTTTTGGTCAACATTCTCTTCTCCCTTTCTTTCTCTCAAATGCTCTGTGCATAGAAAAGCTCCCGAAATGCTTGTAGTATTTACAGCCCTCAGCTGATAGATACGGCTCTACAGTAAGAATGACTCTCCTGTGATTTTTACTTGGACACAGATACATCTGCATTTTATCTCCTATACCTGCAGAAACTCAGGCCGGACTCAACTCTTCAACTTGCTGCATCAGTAGCCATATTGAGTAACAGTGTCTGCCTTAACGAGGTCACTTTCGTTTGTACACATTGGAAATGAACAGTGTACAAACACATGYTCACTGACATAAAATACATATTGATTACCCATTAAAACTGAACACATACAGCAGGACTATACATCTATTGTAATCCCCTTCTTTTCCAYATTATCATTTCCTGCAAGGTCTCTGAATTTTACTGTGTTCACKAGGCCCTCACACCTTGCTCCCTGTTGCCAGGGATCACAGCGGGACCAGCACTGACAAAACCTGCTGTCAAACAGTGACAGCGTTATTCAAAACGCTGGTATTAGAAAGGCAAAGCCTTAATGCAAAACACACAATTGAACGGCAATAGGATACAGGTGAGCCTGTCCTCAGAGAGCAGGGCTGGATGAGAGCACTTTGGGAAATTCTGTCTCAAACAAACTAGTGGCCAAAGAAAGCAGAGAGGTGAGAAAGACTTAACTTTCATGTGCTAAATGGCTCCTAGTTATGACCAGAGGTGGGAGCCCGCTGCAGCGCCCGGCTGCGGAGCCGGACAGGTACCCCGGGGTGCTGCTGACACGGTGCTGCCGGGGCAGGACGGCACGAAGCCCATGGCCCGAGCCCGGCAGTGCGGGGGGACAGCCCGGCAGGGCACACACAGCACCCACCGTGGGATACCCGCCCCTTCGGGCACACACACACCCTGCTCCCCTCAGCACCCACCGTGGGGCACAGGCACCCTTCCCTCCGCAGCGCCKAGGCCGGGCCATGACCGCAGCCCTCCTGCCGGGACAGCCAAGAGCCCGCAGGGGCGGTGCGGCCGCGCTCCTTTCAGCGCAGCCGGGCTCGGCCCCCGCCCCCGCCCGCGGCCAGCGCCTCCCGGCCCGCCCCGCCCCGCTCCGGCACCCACCGTCCCACCGGGCCCGCGGAGCGGAGAGCGCGGAGCCAGTGGC